TCCGCAACTGAGATCAAAAGGAAAAGCCCCTCGATCAAAGTGGAGGGACCCTGAAGATCGGGTTTCTCGGTGCCTCACCTTATAAGGGCCCAGCAACGGCACAAGGCACTCCAAGTAAGTGGAAAGAACCGGAGACTAACATGAAGGGCCCCTGATCAACTGAGCCTACCCTGGCATATGGGGCCCCGAAAAAACGTATAGAGCCTTTCGGGCCAATGGGAAAAATCCGTGAAGGAAAACCTGATTGATCAAGAGCGCCCAGGCATGAAAACAGATAGCGTCTCAACGAGGAAATGCAAAGAGTTCAAAGGCAACGTGGAAAGCTCTTTAGCGATCAGGTTGACCCGACAAACAGAAGTATAGGGCCCGGGAAGCAGCGTAAGGCCTCTGGGCATCGTAACAAGTCCCCAAATTTCCCCCAAGCAACACCATTTTTAATCAGGAATGAATTAATTTCGTCTGCTCATGAACACTTTACTTTTGCAAACAATTGTTCGACCTAAGAAAAATGGTCCATTTTGTCCGTCCGTCCATTTGGATGGTCCGTACGTCCAAAGGAGTCCAATTTTGTTGAAGGAAAACTGCGTCTGTTCGGCCGGCTATGGGCCCCTTTTCAGCCTTTGCCCCGTGCCTCCCCCATCCCCTTTGCATCCGCCACCGGCCTGAGCAGCTTAATAGATGAGGCCCGCCAAGAACAAAGGACCATCCATTCAACTAAGAAATACTTACGACAAAATACGTAGGGCTCACAACGATCGAGCGTACCCGAGCAGCTTAAAATATAGGGTCCCTGTCAAGAGCGTAGGGGCTCCATTTAAATAGAAAGCACCCAAGATCCAACGTAGAGAGCCCCCGAATGATCGCGTGTGCCAGAGCACGTTAACAGATAGGGCTTCCAACAAGAGCGTAAGGCCCTCCATTTAGATGGGAAGTACCGAAGACCCTTTGTAAATGGCTCCTCGAACGATGGAATGTGCCCTAAAATAAAAAGTGCCCCAAACCCAGTGCGGAGCGCCCCCCAAGATGGAGGGTACCCGATCAGATTATCGTATGGCCGCGACAGGAGTGTAGGGCCCTAAATTCAAACACCAAGACCCAGTATATAGAGCCCTCGGACAAACCGGTGTGAGCGAGGAGGGAAACAGATGGGGCCCTCGACAAGTGTGTAAAGCACTCCATTCAGATAGGAGGTACTCAACACACAATGTGGGGTCCCCCCGGATATTCGAGTGTGCCCGAGCATGTTAACAGATGGGGTCCCGGCAAGAGCGTGGGGAATTTCGTTCAAATATGGCATACCCACGACACGATGTACATTGCCCCGAATAATTGAGTGCACCAGAGCAGGTTAACAGACAGGGCCCCGATAAGAGCGGAGGGCCCTCCATTAAGAAAGGAAGTACCTAAAACCAGATGTAGAGGTCCCCCACGATGGAATAGGCCCGAGCATCTGATGAAAAGGGGCCCGACGGGAGCGTAAGACCCTCCATTCAAATAAGAAGTACCCAAAACCCGTTGCGGAGGGCCCCCGAAAGATGGAGTGTATCCGAACAGGTTGTCAGATGACCTCGATAGGAGCAGAGGGTCCTAAATTAAAACATCAAACAAGACAAACAAACAATACCCAGTGTAGAGGGTCCCGAACGACTGAGTGCTTCTAGACCAATGTGAGGGCCCATGAGCATATTGCAAGTGTGCGGATAGGCTAACTGACACCCATGTAAAGGGCCCTTGAGCAGCCGAGAATGCCCCGGCAGGTTAAGATATGGGACCCCGGCTATAGCTCACAGAGCTTTTCTGGCGAATGGAAAGAGTCCGTAGAAGGGCCCGTGATTGATAAGAGTGCCCTGGCACGCCAAAAGGAAGAGCCCCAACAACAGCACAGGGCCCTCCGAACAAATGCCAAGAAATAAAGAGCAACGTGAAATGCTCCTTAACGATCGAAACGATCCTATAAGTGGGTATATAGGTCCCTCGAAAACAGCATGAGGCCCTTAAATAGTGTGATGGAGCTTGGAATCTCCACTTCACAACCTTTACAATCAGTGAATATTTTAAGGGGCTTCTTATAGGCCCTTCGCCTTTGCTTACGACCGTTTTTTGGTCGCCTGAAACTCCAGAGATACCCAGTGTTGTTGCGTCTTGTGTTAGAAGGACTCCTTATATCCGGCCGGCTATGGGGCCCCCTCGGAGCCAATGGGCCTCTTCTGACTGACTGACTGACTTCTGAAACTGCGAGAAAACCTGCAATTTCATAGTTTCGCGAGCTGTGCAAGTATGAGATCACACTTATTTGACAAAAGAGTGTGAATTTTGGGCTCGAAACGTGTGTGATTACTGATGGTTTGTGCAAGTGGCTTTTATTGATCTTGGTGTGATGGGGAGTGCGCGTGCGAGGTTTGTACCTCTGAGAGAACATTGTTTTGGTATTCTTTAAGTCTAATGACTCCTAATAAAATGTGATATATTGATACCTGCCTCTACCGTTATGTTTGTGTTTGAACATGACGAAGCAGCGCTGGCAAACTAAGAGAAGCGCTAGCACTATGTTGTAGTGATGTACGAAGTCAAGCTGATGCTTGATTATGATCTTGCCAACATTTTGAACCTATTGAGGTATTACAGCATGCAATTAATTCATCGTGTGTCGTCACATTAGCAATTCATTTTAGCCGTAGGGGCTAGTGCATACAACTCATTAATGCACATGCTCAGTATAGGCTCACATTATATGGCTTTGCAAAATTGTCTTTCCCCAAAGAATTCTGAAAGTATGGAGCTATATTATTACTGATGCACATTGTACTGTCTTTACTAATTTTGCATGCAGGCTGGCATTGCTCGTGAGTCATCAATGTCAAAGTTACTGCAACTTGCGTGAGACGCTGGGTGCTGAGAAAGGTGGAAAGGTATTGCCGTTGGTGTCTAGGATAACACTTTTCATACTTTTATCATGAGCCTTGTGTGCACTGGCAGCTTCATGACTTCCTTGCATTTTGCCCATCCAACCATAACTAAATGCACTTGTCATGTTTCCAGCCTTGTGCAAGGTCAGCATGTTTGCAGTGTCATTTGACCACATTAAACATTTCCTATTATTTTGTAGTAAAGCAGCCTGATATCTGTAGCGTGTTGCATGACTGTGGAAGTGGAAGATGTGTTTGCATCTTTCTCAACTGCCTTTTGTGGATTCCCAGAACAGGCTAAGCAAGTGATGCCACTTATTGGCTGTCTGCTTTGTTGAGAGTGATTTGTATATTATTTCATGTATTTTGCTCAGTCATATGCCAGATGGGGAGTCAATACAAGATAGGACACTTGACCCATCTTTTCATGGTGAAGTTTATCATGAAGGCAGCATGGATTGCTGCGCAAAAACCACATCATTTTTCATTATGGC